GAGACTTTCTCTCTTTTTGTCTTCTCCACACAATCCCCATCATATTCTATTCCACCCATAGTGCTATATCCATGGCTCACGCTCATGTATTGCGTGAAGGTTGAAAAAGTTTGAGATTATTTAAGTATGAAACAATTGCTTGGCTTGTCATCGGGGGTATAGAAGTTGGGAACATCTTTGTGTGATGAAAATGAAGCATAGCCTAACTATATGATTTTGTAGGGATGAACTTTCTTTTGCCATGTTATTTTGAGAAGACATGATTACTTTGATTAGTATGCTTGAAGTGTTGCTATTTCTTATGTCAATATGAACTTTTATTTTGAATCATTTGGATATGAACATTCATGCCACAATAAAGAAAATTACATTGAGAATTATGCTAGGTAGCATTCCACATCAAAAATTCTGTTTTTATCATTTACCTACTCGAGGACAGGCAGGAATTAAGCTTGGGGATGCTTGATACGTCTCCAACGTATCTATAAATTTTGATTGTTCCATGCTATTATATTACCCCTTTTGGATGTTTATGGGCTTTATTTTACACATTTATATCATTTTTTGGGACTAACCTATTAACCGGAGGCCCAGCCCATATTGTTGTTTTATTGCCTGTTTCAGTATTTCGAAGAAAAGGAATATCAAACGGAGTCCACGGAATGAAACCTTCGGCATCGTGTTTTTTGGAAGATTATGATCCGGGAGACTTGGAGTTCACGTCAGAAGATCCTCAAGGAGGCCACGAGATAGGAGGGTGCCCCCCCCTACTGGGCGCGCCCCCTGTCTCGTGGACCCCTCGAGCACCCCCTGACTGACTTCTTTCGCCTATATAACCCTACGTACCCTAAAACCATCGAATATCAAGATAGATCGGGAGTTCCGCCGCCGCAAGCCTCTGTAGCCACCAAAAACCTCTCGGGAGCCTGTTCCGGCACCCTGCCGGAGGGGGAATCCTTCACCGGTGGCCATCTTCATCATCCCGGCGCTATCCCTGACGAGGAGGGAGTAGTTCACCCTCGGGGCTGAGGGTATGTACCAGTAGCTATGTGTTTGATCTCTCTCTCTCTTTCATGTTCTCTCTCGTGTTCCCTCTATGGCACGATCTTGATGTATCCCGAGCTTTGCTATTGTAGTTGGATCTTATAATGTTTCTCCCCCTCTACTCTCTTGTGATGAATTGAGTTTCCCCTTTGAAATTATCTTATCGGATTGAGTCTTTTATGAGAACACTTGATGTATGTCTTGCCGTGTTTATCTGTGGTGACAATGGGATATCACGTGCCTTTTGATGTATGTTTTGGTAACCAACTTGCGGGTTCCGCCCATGAACCTATGCATAGGGGTTGGCACACGTTCTTGACTCTCCTGTAGAAACTTTGGGGCACTCTTTGAAGTACTTTGTGTTGGTTGGATGAATCTGAGATTGTGTGATGCATATCGTATAATCATACCCATGGATACTTGAAGTGACAATGGAGTATCTAGGTGACATTAGGGTTTTGGTTGATTTGTTTCTTAAGGTGTTATTCTAGTATGAACTCTTTTATAGATTGATCCGAAAGAATAACTTTGAGGTGGTTTCATACCCTACCATAATCTCTACGTTTGTTCTTGGCTATTAGTGGCTTTGGAGTGACTCTTTGTTGCATGTTGAGGGATTGTTATATGATCTATCTATGTTATTATTGTTGAGAGAACTTGTACTAGTGAAAGTATGAACCCTAGGCCTTTGTTATATGATCTATCTATGTTATTATTGTTGAGAGAACTTGTACTAGTGAAAGTATGAACCCTAGGCCTTGTTTCCTATCATTGCAATACCGTTTACGCTCACTTTTATCATTAGTTACCTTGCTGTTTTTATTATTTCAGATTACAAATACCTATATCTACTATCCATATTGTACTTGTATCACCATCTCTTCGCCGAACTAGTGCACCTATACAATTTGCCTGGGTGTGTTGGGGACACAAGAGACTCTTTGTTATTTGGTTGCAGGGTTGCTTGAGAGAGACCATCTTCATCCTACGCCTCCCACGGATTGATAAACCTTAGGTCATCCACTTGAGGGAAATTTTCTACTGTCCTACAAATCTGTGCACTTGGAGGCCCAACAACGTCTACAAGAAGAAGGTTGTGTAGTAGACATCACGCCCCCCCATGTAGGCCGAACCTGGAGGGGAAGGAAAGAGGAGAAGATAGAGAGGAAGGGGAGGGATTCAGCCTCCCCCTTCCTTCTCTCCCTCCTCCTTCTTCCTTCGCCCTTCGGAAATTATGGTAGGGGGGTAGGGGCGAATAGGATTAGGGCCCCAAGTAGGATTCCTCCTACTTGGGCACCCCCTTGGCTGCTCCCTCTCCCTCTCACCTATATATATGAGGGGGAGGGCACCGCTAGAACACACACCAACAATTGTTAGCCGTGTGTGGCGCGCCCCTTCACAGTTTATGCCTCCGGTCATATTCATGTAGTGCTTAGGCGAAGCCCTACGCGGATCACTTCACCATCACCGTCACCATGTCATCGTGCCGACGCAACTCTCCCTCGACACTTTGCTGGACCAAGAGTTCGAGGGATGTCATCGAGCTGAACGTGTGTAGAACTCGGAGGTGCCGTACGTTTGGTGCTTGATCGGTCGGAACAAGAAGAAGTTCGACTACATCTACCGCGTTAAAAAACGCTTCCTCTTTTGGTCTACGAGGGTACGTGGACACACTCTCCCTCTCTCATTGCTATGCATCTCCTAGATAGATCTTGCGTGAGCGTAGGAAATTTTTGAAATTGCATGCTATGTTTCCCAACATCATGGCTGCCCCTGGTCGGCCTGGGACATGTGATGCCAATGAGGCAGGTGATGAGGTCCCGAGCTCTGTAGCATTAGACATAGCAGCAGGATGGATGGCAGTGAGGCGGGATGCTACAGGTAAAAACCTTGGGTCGGCTTGGTCGACGCCGATGATAACGACGCCTTCGGGCATCGTGTTCCTCTTTGGAGGCACCATCATGAAGTTCCACCACCTCGCCTGACCGGTGCTATCTCTGGGCGAAAGCCTAAGATCTAGCTTCTAGATCGGATGACGACGGCGTTCTTGACATCGTAACCTCCTTGCAGGCATCCTCTTGGAGTCAGCAACCATTGTTGGATGTCTATTATTTGGTTGCAGGGCGGTTGACCGGTATGAGTTCCATGGCTGCGAGTCTAGGTGGTAGGACCGGTGGTGGTGGCCATCTCCTTCGTCGGAGGTGGTCGGCCTGACACTGGATGGGCAGATCTTGAGATCCGTCATCTAGCTCCGGCTGCGAGTCGGGAAGACATAGTTGTCGGTGAAAGCTGAGCCGATGGCAGGCGATGACGGCGTTCTGTGTCGTTACCTTGATGAAGGCATCATCGTGTAACTATTGTCGACCCACTTGTGCTGCTCCGGGGAAGACCCTATGATCTGGTCTTCCAGATTGGACGATGATGGTACTTCGGTGTCGTTTTCTCTCTTGGGAGCATCGTTTGTGTAGCAGCGCTGGAAGTCAGAGGCAGGAGGTGGAGCAGCTTCGTCTTGCACGGAGCTTTCGGTGGAGATGTCAAGTCATGCCTGGCCGACAGGTGCTACGTTGCGTCATGCCTGGTCAGCAGGTGTTACGCACGACAGATCTTTCAGAATCTCCGCATCTGGATGGACGAGCGCGGGGCGGTGGCACCGTTGGGCGCCGTGGCGGCGTCGACGGATGGACGGATTGGCAAGGATGATGCGGATCTCTCTCCTGAAGATGGCTCAGCGGTCTGATGAAGATGGCGGCGTCTAGAATGTTATGCGTGTGGTGTATGTTTTAGGTCTGCTGCACCGACTGTTGGTTCCGATACGTTATGTGGATGGAACAGCGACGACACCGGATTTAGATATGGGGAGTGAGAGCACTTCACATTATCGAGTTTTTGTAGGTGCGATTGGTGGCTTCGGGTGGCTTGATGTATGCTTTTGTTAGACCTTTGTTGAATAATAAATAAAGATGACCATATGTATCGATTGATGCAGAGGCTGGGGTCTTAACCTCCTTTTCCAAAAAAAATCGCCTGCCTCGAATTCTATTCTGATCAATGGATGAAATATCAAGCGGACCTGGGTTGCTACACCGCTCGATCGGTTCAGTGACTCAAACTACACCATTGAAGAACATGAAAGGTTGTGAAAACACGTCGTAAATTTCATAGAACCTGTATCAAGTAGTTTCCCTTGTTTTCGTGGTTTTGGATATGTGCACATAAGCCCTACATCTTTACTGCTCGTTTGATGCTGTTGGGATATTATTATTTGTTTGATCACCTTGACAACGCTTTGATATATCCTATATGTAGCCATACCAGCTCGCCTCAAATTAAATAGCATGCCAGTAGAAACGAATTCCAAAACTTTAGACATTTTCTTTTACCAGAACAACTCCAAAGTATGGTGGGCTGTAGGATATCGGTGTTCTTTCTGATATAGCCTTTGTGGTCTTTGGGGGCTGATGGGTATATCTCATTTTGCTCCCTCAGATCACGTGTCGTCGTTTCCTAGTATTTCTGCTTGCCCTTAGTAGTTTATATAACAAGATACTATGGTTTCTGTTGATGAAAATCGGAGAGGAAGCTCTCTTTATCAAAAAAGAAATAAAAGCTCCAGAGATGGGACCTTGTGATCAAGTGATGAAGTACTAAATCGATGATACAAGCTCCTGATATGTATCCAAGAAGGTACTCACGATGACAAAGTAGTACTTATTAGGTTGACAATACATCATACTAGAACATGAACTGAAAGAAAATCCAGAGGAACAGAAAAACTAGAACATGAACTGAAAGAAAATACAGACGATAGGGTAGTTGATACAGACGCTCATTAAGGAACATGGAAATGAGCGAAACGCCGGTCAGGCCGGCGTCTATCTTACGGACGGTGCTACCTAGAAGTCATAAGCCTACAAGTTCAGCTTCAGCTTGTAAGCCAGCACATGAAGTGGAGATGATCATGGGTGTGCAGGGATCCCGGGAAGGGCAGGAACCACCACCACCGGACCGGTAACTGTGCTGGTACCGGTAACGGTTCCCACAAGCGGCAACTCTGGCAACCCCAAAACCTTCTCCTCGCCGACGCCACCACCGGCACCGGCACCGGCACCAGCACCGCGTGCCGTTGCTAGTGCCTGGTCCTTCTGGTTCAGCTCCCTCCCGTCGCAGTACGCGAGCACCACCAGTAGCAGGAGCGCGGCGGCGAGACACTTTGCCATATTGCTAACTGGGAGGCTCTAATGTACTGAGACAGAGTTGTGTGGCTGCGTTTGAGTGAGCTTGGGCTTAGCATCGCGTGTACGCCGCCTTTTATAGGCGAGTTTTGGTTGGTGGCACTTGCACGTAGGTGCACTGGCCGGCACGGCAGTGCATCGTCGGCGCAGGTACGTGTTAGGAGAGGGCAGCTGCCGTCGATCGCCGCTGTATAGTCAGGCACATGTGTGCCGTCCCAGACCCATGCTTCCATTTGAGTTGTTCGTATGGCTGTGTGTATCACAATAATGCATATACTAATAAAAAATGGCTCGTATCATTTTTTTTCATGTGCTATGTATTTTTTATTTTCTTTTCAAGAAACTTCCAATATATTCATCTTCAATCATGACAGTACAAAGAACAACAGAGATAATAAAAATTACAGCCATGCCTGTGGACCACCTAGCGACGACTACAATCACCAGAGCGAGCCAAAGGCGCGCCGCCGTCATCGTCCCTCCCTCACTGGAGCCGGGCAAACCTTGTTGTAGTAGACAGTCGGGAAGTCGTCATGCTAAGGCTCAATAAGACCAGCGCACCAGAGTAGCAACCATCACCAATGAAGAAATTCGTAGATTAGAAGGGTCAAACCTGTAAACACCCAAACGAAGACGAACGAAGACCGGATTCAAACAGATCCACCAAAGTCCAACACCGATCGAATTTCGTGGATCCGATGGAGACAAACCTCTACACGCCCTCCGATGATGCTAGAAGGACGGGGATAGAACATGGGAGACATTATTCCTACAAAGGGACAACACCGCCGCCACAACCCCAATCAAGACGCCGAATTTAACAAGAATAAGAACGGGGTCCCTCCCACCCACCGGGGGCCGAGATCCTCTCGCACCTCCATGGCCTAGAGGCCATCGGAGATGGGGTGGACCGGCGGCGGCGCCGACGGGAGGAGAAGAGCTTTTTCTTAGAGGAGGAAAGAGATGGAAGAATAGGTGCTTAATGTGGCTTATGTGCTATGTGTGCAGAAGGAAAATCAGCCCGCCACCAGCCAGAACAACTTAGGAGTAGTCAACTTTTCTTTAATACTCCTACTTTAGATTGCTTAGCACAGATTGCTTAGCACATGTGTCACGTGGTAACTTAGTAGCAGGCTGCAGTCGGACTCGTCCCATTCCCTCCCGTTCCCTCGTGTAGGGCGACTCGGGGGCGACCAACCTCCCCGTCCGCCTCCCCCTTCTCGTCCTTTCCTCGCCGCCGTCGGAGACGGGCGCCGGGTCCCCCGCGCGGCCGTCGATGAGGGTGGCGGCGAGGCCATCGGCCGCGATGCCGCTCAGGCTCGGGCCTAGGGTTTGAGGCGGCGGCCTCTGCTGGTGAGGGCGGCGTCGTGCGCGGTGGCGGGCGGCGCTCGCCGGTGTTGAGGGCCGCGTCTACTCGGCCGCGCGGGCGGCGAGTTGGCGGTGGATGCGGGAGCCGCGTGGAGGGATACCCTACTACTCTTCTTCGCCAGATCTGAAGACAACGCCCCCGTGCTACTACTTCCTCCTCGTCAGTCCGGCCAGATCCGGTGGCTGACTGCGCGGATGTGGGGTTGGGAGCTCTGGATCAGAGTAATTTCTTGGCCGGCTGTGGCGGCCACGACGCCGGTGGCGCTCCAGGCGTTGTTTCCTTCTTGAAGGCGGCTTCGAGATCCAGCTCCCTCCCTCTCGTCCTCCCCCTGCACCCGGGTGAAAACCCACAACTTTGGTTGGGCGGCGGCGGTGCCCGGCTCCGTCACTTTCTTGAAGGCGCCGCTTTGGCCGTGGGGAGGTGGGACAGCTGCAGCGCGTTCTTGGCGTCCTTGATGGCGGCGGTTCTCTTTTTAATGGTGTCACTTCGCCATGGCGGTCGGTTGGTCCGGCTCTCATGGTGATTGTGGTGCTCAACTCTTCGCCGTGTCCTCCTGGGGTGCTCCCGTTCAGAGAGGCTGGAGGTGGAGCGGCTTCGTCTTGCACGGAGCTTTGGTGGAGATGTCAAGTCATGCCTGACCGACAGGTGCTATGCCTTGTCATGCCTGGCCGGCAGGTGCTACGCACGACAGATCTTTCAAAGACTTCAAGCTGTGTCAGCTGGTGGTACTTGGCAGCATGGTGCTGAGGTGTATCAGTGGCGACCGCGACGTGCTCAGCTGTTTGCGCGCAGGGAGGAGGTGCCGTTGGGCGCCGTGGTGGCGTCGACGATAGCTGGACCGAGCAAGGTTGATGCATCAGTACAGTTCTCAAGATGGAGCGGTGGCAGTTGGCGGCAGCGGCCTCTGAGTGCACGCCGGACCGGTGAGACTCATGCCCGACAGGCGTTCTGGATGGGTCCTCAGGTCTTAGATGTTAGGTTTGGCTGCGATTTCTGTTTGGTATTAGGCTCAGGCTATCTACGCCCCTTCATCAACTGGATAGGTGTAGCGACAGTTTGTTGCTTAGATGGCGGCTTTAGTCTTACTGTTGTATTACTTTGTAAGGTCTTGTAAGAATAATTAATAAAGTGGCCGTATGCATCGTCCAGATGCAGAGGCCGGGGGTCATCCTCGTTTTGTAAAAAAAAGCAGGCTGCAGTCATGCTGCTTCTTGTCAGTCAGACCGCGAGAAGAAGACGTGCAATCGTTGATTTTGGTTTGGAGTTTACTTGGCTCCTTGGAGCAATTGACGAAGAAAGAGCCGAAGAAGGCGGAAGGTTTCACAATTTCTTCTGGTCTCTGCCTTGTTTATTTCACCTCGTTTAATCCATATGGTGCTAGTTTAGCTGCTTTGCCGCGTAGTTTAGGAGAGCGGAATGGAGCATGGCTTCGTTTTCCCGTGGTGGCAAATGTGCAGAGCAACCTTGCAATGGATGCTCGATCTGTCGATCACGTAGTCAGGCCCCTAGTACAGTACGTAGTAACAATTCGCTAAACCTAGGTCCAGCAGCGCCTATGTATGTCGTCGGCCTCCATGCTGGAAATAATCCAAAGTTCCGAGTTAGTCCCGACTGCAGAGACAGAATCGCAGAACGTGAGAGGTCGAGAGATAAAGAAAACGAAACTGTTTGATATTTTTCTTTTTGTGAATAAAAACTGTTTGATATGATCGTGAGACGTGAGACCGTGAGACAAGACGAGAAATAAACCAAACTTTGGATTATTATTACGTGAGACCGTGAGACAAGACGTGCCTTTGGCAAATGTACGGGATCGTGTGTCGTTTTCCAGTATGATGTGATCCATCCAACAATTGATAGGTGGTCGGCACTACAGTACTAGTACGGCATACATTCATTATATTCTCCCTGTTGGGTGCAAGAGTTCAAGTTCCAACTTGTACGAGCGTGTTTCGTTCAGTACTTCAGTCCGGCACACGCCAACTTGTGGCTTGCCGCAAGTTAGGCGGACGATTCGTCCGCCACACCTTAGGCCAACTCAAACGCGCACGGTACTTAACGGATGTTAGTTTCGTTCGCTCTTCGTTGTTTGAGGATGACAATAGAGTCGTGTTCATCTGGATTTATGAATGCGGCGTACGGCCGTATTTTGTCTGTTTGCATCTCGTCTGCATACATTTTTGTAACACATATTTTATTATTTTCATCATTGATTTTTGATACATTAGAGCACATTACCAAATCTTGACTAAAATAACAAGAGCAAAGAAAACAAGAACCACAAAAAGATATTTTAGTAAATATCCAACTTCCATAACTGCTCTCATAAGTTGGATTATTGTCTTCTCGACGGATTCATAGTTGATCTACAGAGTTTCAATTTTACGTGCTTCTTTCTGTTAGAATAAATCCGAGGCATACCGTTGATCATCCGAGGACCAAGCAATCACACGAGCACGACACCAAGATTTGTTAACGAGGTTCACCGGTATGGCTACATCCCCGGGGCATAACTACGGGCGCTCCTCTCTGTGACACCGCTACAATACCGCACCCGGCCGCCCTGGACGCCGGCACAAGCCACCGGTTTCCCCTGCGTTCCGGTGCTATTATGTTGGCATAGGTTACATCGTGTGTCTACCCCCGCTATATATGAGAGGCCTAGGATACAAGTGTCCTACTAGGACACGACTCCACATCCTATGTAAACACAATACAACTACAAGTCCAACTGTAACCTACCTTGTACACTATATTCGACACAACTCTAACACTTTCTTCTTCGAGTCTAAAGAAATAGACGTTGCTTCCTTACATCTAGTCTCATCTCTAGTCTCTATTCTAGCAACAAGTGCACGAACATCTATTAAATTGCGCTCTATCAATAGGTCGATGTATTCTTCTTCTCAATACCAAAATTTGCATCCATCCTACACAATAAATATTTGAGTGTAAGCAAAACGAGCCGAATCCGAAAGCACAGCCGAAACTAAACTAGCACATACCCCATCGTTTGGGCACTTGACGAACACCCACCAAGGATGTTCCGGTGACACTAACACGCCGCGCGAGACCTTCCATGGACCGTCATCGCACTTTATGAGCGACAAAGGTGCGCTGATGAGCCTTTGGGCCAGCACCGAGCCCGGACGACGACCATGTTGTATTTGCCATGAATCGGCGACGGGGTCGATCCGAGCGGCTAGAGACAGAGTCAGTACCTGCATGCGGTCTGGGGCGATGTCGGGGCTTTGCGGTCCGGTATCTAGCCTGTGCATGGCACGGCGTGGCCTCCGGCAACCGGGGTGAGCTCAAATCCGGCCGCCGGATGCGTTGAAATCAGGCGCCCGGGGTTGGACAGCTTTGAAGGAAGTATGCCCTAGAGGTAATAATAAAGTTATTATTTATTTCCTTATATCATGATAGATGTTTATTATTCATGCTAGAATTGTATTAACCGGAAACATAATACATAGACAAACATAGTGTCACTAGTATGCCTCTACTTGACTAGCTCGTTGAATCAAAGATGGTTAAGTTTCCTAGCCATGGACAAAAGAGTTGTCATTTGATTAACGGGGTCACATCATTAGGAGAATGATGTGATTGACATGAC